GGGAAAACTTGCAGAACACACTGAATGCCCTTTTCTTCCCATCACTGCACATCTAGGCAGATTAAAGCTGCCCAAGTCTAATCTTTTTGAACTGGTGGTTATTATTGGCTGCTGGAACGTTGTAAGCTCTGAAGTATAATTAAGCTGGTCTCATGGCTTGAAACCGGCATCTGATTGCTTATTACCAAGGACAGAAAATTCCCATAGCAAACTCTGTCCTCTTGTCAGAGCATTTTATATGGGAGCTACAAGTTCTGCCTTCGTGTGTCTCTCAGGAGAGGCTATAAGGGACATGGAAATGATTGACTGAGTCCAGACAGGGACCCTGATTTGGGGTTTTTTTTTTTGTTTTAGTTTTTATTTTCTCTGATGCAGTTGCCTGGCTCTCAGGATTTCTTTTACTTCCAAAGCAAAAGTGGTCTCTCTCTTTTTTGGGGGTGAAGACAGGGTCTCTCACTGCATTGCCCAGGCTGATCTCAAACTCCTAGCTGCAAGTGATCCTCCTGCCTCAGCCTCCCAAAGTGCTAGGATTACAGACATGAGCTACTGCACTCAGCCAAAAATGGTCTTTAATTTGAATCCTTTCTTTAAAATCAAACCTTGGAAAGCAGGCAAAGCTTTTATCTGACAGAGAGAAAAGGCACTAGAATGAACAGGAATCTTGTCGGGGCAGTGGGAATTCCCTTCTTTCCAGGATCCTGGAGTCAGTGCAGCTCAAAAACACAGAAGGACCATGACGCCATGCCTGGACTGCAGGAGTTCCAGCTGTGTGGAAGAGACGAGATGAGTTACAAAGAGTTCTGTGCAGGGTAAATTTGATATAGCGCCGTCTGAGTACACGCGTGCGTTGAAGATGGGTGATCAGAGTCAGATGTGGTCCATCAGGAAGTTGCCTGGGGGAGTAATTGAGTTTAACGTCTCAGTCAGAGACTCCAAGACATTTTTCCTTGGGAGCTGAGCTTAGAGCCAATCCCTTTATTTTATGGATGAGTTTACTCCAGAGGGAATAATATGCCCAAAGTCACATAGTAATAAATTAATGATAGAATTACAGATAGAAGCCAAGCATCCATACTTTGGGCCAAGCACATTTTCCTCTAAATCATAAAATCTACACATTAGAGGAAAGGTTGGTGAACAGTGAATATTGGTTCTTTTACATGTGGAGCAGTAGAAGGCCAGAGAAAGGGCTTTTGACTGTAGTCTGCATTCTTTGGGAAAATGAATAGAACTCAGGTTTTCTGACACCCAGTCGGAGGTGTGGGTGGGAAGGCATCATCTGAATGGTCCCTAGATTTTTTGTGATACTCCATGGATGACTTCTGCATTCCTGTCAGTGCTGAAGACAAGGCTATTTTTTTTTCTTGTGACTTTGTGCTTCTCTCCTGAAATCCTATTTTTAAAAAAGAAGAAGAAGAAAATTAAACATCTGGATGATACAAAGTGAGACTTCAGATATTTCCAAATAGAAAAGGGAGAAATTCTAAGCAAATACAGGAATATCTTCTCTATCTTGTAGAAAACAATGTTTAGATTGTTTTCTTTTATGTAGCTCTTTCTCACTCAGATTGAAACCAGTGTGTTACTTAAGTTTGAGCCATCAAAGTTTGAGTCCCTACTGTGTCCTAGGATTGTGCTGGTTTTTGTGGAGAGTGTCAAAGAAATTATGGAATTGTGCAGCAGTGGCTGATAGATAACACAGAGAAGGCTTAAGTTAGTGAGGACTAGAGATAGTTAGGGCTTCTGTATCAGGCAGGCATGAACTGTGAAGGATTTAGAAAAGAGATCAGGGACTAGGTGGGGCGGCTCACACCTGTAATCCCGGCACTTTGGGAGGCTGAGGCAGGAGGATCACTTGAGGCCAGGAATTTGAGGCCAGCCTGGGCAACATACGGAGATCTTGTCTTTACATAAACAAACAAACAAACAAATAAATAGACATGGGGACACACACCTGTAGACCCAGCTACTCATGAAACTGAAGCAGAAGAATCCCCTGAGCCCAAGAAATCGAAGCTGCAGTGAACCATGACTGTTCCACTGCACTCTAGCCTGGATGACAAAATGAGACCTCTGGCTCAGGAGAAAAAAAAAAAAAGAAAGAAGGAAGAAAGAAAGAAGAAAAGAGAGCAGGAAAGAGGGCAGCCAGAGAAAAGATAGAACCTCAGAGAAGCTTGACCCATGCATGATCTTACAGGTAGTTCTTGGTTTTCTCCTCACTTGTCCTCACATGTTTCCCCCAAAACCCATGAAGTGTCAGGGCCGGCGATTTATTACGCAAAACATCTTGCTTAGAACAGTCTTAGAAATGTGGTGACAAAGTCCATCTCCTTGAGGTAAATGGGGAAATTGCTTCCTTTGGTGTGTTCCAGCCTGTCTATTCAGAATTAACTTGGCACAGTGAATCAGAGAAGAATGGCTGTCTTCATCCTTCTTTGGGAAAGAACTTGGCAGGCAAGGCTGATCTGGACAGGCAATAATTAAATTGCCATGGATCATGTCAACTATAATTGAGACCAAGAACTTGTGCACATGTGATCCACACAAAGCCCTGTCTCACAGAGGATCTCCCAAACCTTGGGGGCCTTTCTTTACCATAGTATGAGAAGCAATGTCTTCATTACAATTAGAAACCATTAAAATTAAAAAATCTAAGTACAAATAGACAAATGAGTTGCAAGAAAGAAAAAAAGATCCTTTCTCTGCCTAGCGGTTTTGAAAGGCAAAAACTTGATAGGCTTAATTTCTCATTCCTTTTTCCAGTTTGAAAAACAGTAAATTGGAAACATTTTATATGGAACTGAATAGAAAAAAACGGGGTTTTTAACTTTTGCTTTTTAGACATCAAATCTTTGAAAGTCTAATTTTTATGCTTTTCTGAGGACCGATTGATGAAGAAAAGGCGATTCAGAAAGTGCTAAAAGCACAAAATGTAGGTAGTTTCACAACTTTAAACAGGCCTTTCTGTATTTTTAAGATCAACAGAGCATATTGCAATCACAGATCAATGGCTTCTTCATCTCTTTCCTTTGTGTCCTCCGAGAACTTTGAACTATTACACTCTGTTAACCTCATTTTTGTCTCCCAATACCCCCCACTTCTACACTGAGGGCTCTTCCCGTCTTGTGGATTCTTTGCTTAGGAGTGTCTTAAATGTTTTACCCCTCTTTCTAGTTGATACCTGGCCTACGAATCTGTGTCCCTGGATTGTCATAGAAGAACACAGCTCGAGCACATGTTGAAGAGCCATCAGAAATTTTGCGTGTGTGCCTGCATTGTTTTTAAAGCAGATGATAAGAATGTTTTCCTACAGATTCAGAAGCATATGGCTTATATAACCATATCATAACTTTCACACATAAATAAGGAAGAAGTGGATTCTTAGTATATATGGAGCGAGTGGAATTGTACAGGTTTTCGTTGAGCTAACATCTCTCAAAAGTGAAACACAGAGCAGATTTTTCTGACCATTCTATTTGCGTGTATTGAATAGAATATACATTTGCTTATTTATTGCAGTCTTTCCTTTTCTAGAATGTTAGATCCTTGGGGGCAGGACTTTACTTCCAGCACACAGTAGATGCTCATTGATTTTTAAAAAAAATTGTAACAAGACAGTCAATCATTTAGATAGAACCAGGATCATGGTGGCTCAGACATCAAGCCCTTGACTCTCAAAAGGATTAAGGCACAAATGATTAACTGATTGTAAGTTAATTTAGTTCAGTTACTGTAAGTTACTAGCGATGCCCAAAATAATAGTTTAGTGTCTGAATGCTCTCACAGTTTTCTGGAGAAACAGGGGTTTTAGCATAATATTTTAGGCCAGGCATATTGGCTTACACCTATAAACCCAGCACTTTGAAAGGCTGAACCAGGAGGATTGTTCGAGTCCAGCCTGGGCAACATAGTGAGACCTTGCCTCTAAAAAAATTTTTTTTTAATTAGCCAGGCATGGTGATGTGTACCTGTAGTCCCAGCTACTTGGGAGGCTGAGGCAAAAGGTTTGCCTGAGCCCAGGAGGTTGAGGATGCAGTGAGTTGTGATCGTGCCACTGTACTCCAGCCTGGGTGACAGAGTGAGAACCTGACTCAAAAAATATATAATAATAATAATAATTGTATTGTCCAATATCCCTTCTCTCATAAATTATTTTTATTTCTCCACTCATAATTCACTCCTATAGTACATTTTGCTAGAGCACCTACTCTGTACCAGCTATTGGGCACACAAAAATGAACAATCTTCATGTCCTGTAAGGGCTGAACACCTAAGAGGAGACTCAGCCCAGCCAGTATAATGCAGGGTTCTGTGCACTGTGATGGGAACAAATTCCAGGCATGGTAGGAGGGACGCCCAACCCGAAGTTGGGTTTTCCAGGAAGAGACTTCTAAGTTGAGACCAAAGAAGTCAGAATGAGCCACTTGGCAGCCTGAGTAAGAAGAGACGGGAGAGGGGTGCAGGAGAGGTCTGGAGGAAGAAGAGAAAGAGGAAGTAACGTATCGAGAGGGTCTGGGGCACTGGGGAGAAATGGACATGGCTTTTTAGGACAGGGAATGGAAGCTGTTGAGGTAGAGGCTGGTGTGGAACGCAACTGGCAATGTGCTTCAGAGCGGAGATTTTAAGTCAAGATCAGACTCATTCTGACGTGATCCGCTGTATCTGGAGAAATTCACTGGAGGGTTTTAAATGGGGGCAGGGGGCATGATCAGAGTTTTAGGGTACATGAATAATTTAATGTATTTATGATTTACAACTAACCCTGCATCCTACAACTGCTTGCCGGTTTCTACAGTTGTAATAGGAAAGGGAGTGGGAATGGCTCAGGACCAAGCCATCCCTGGTAATATATTTTTTTAAATCCCTCAAAGTGTGCAGCTTGCTGTATGACACAGTTAGCTGAGTCACTAACACCTTATAAGGGATCAGCCAAAGGATGTTTTCATCCTCCATGACACTTTCCTTTTTGCCCTTCCCTCCTCCTCGCTTTCCCATCTTAGAACAACAAGGTCACCCTCTTCCGCCAGCTACAGCAGATGACGTACAGCCTTATTGAGTGGCGGTCCCAGATCCTTTCTGGGACACTCCCCAAGGATGAACTGGCAGAGCTCAAGAAGAAAGTCACAGCCAAAATCGATCATGGGAACAGGTAAACCAGGGAAAACTTGGAACATGTCAGACATGTCCATGATGAGGGCACTTTTTACAACGGACTTTTGATCTTAGAGTTGCCAAAGGATAATGTTCATGGCTCTTTTTGACGTAGAAGACATTTAGTTTTGTAGAAAACGATTTCACAGTATCCTCTGTGGCCAGGTCCTGTGCTGAATCGCTGGTTTCATGGAGGTGACAGGTAAGCAGTAAATATGGGACTTGGATGGAAGCTGCCCAACTGCCAAAAAAAAACAAAAACAAAACACAAAACAGAAAACATTCTACAAGTGACCAAGCATCTGAAACAGACACTTTCAGATACCTGGGACTGTATCTGTTTTTATTCTACTGGTAGATTTTAAATCAAGATCAGACTCTTTCTCTCTCTCCCTCTTCCCCTAACTGGGACCACTGTTTACAGCGTATGAAAATCAGATTTGCCAGAATGGTAACACATGTATATGGCCTGTTGGTTATGCTTTCAAGCGTCTCTGAAGAGTTCATCGCTTCATTATTCTTCTGATTAGCCCAGGCAGATATGTAGTTCTAGAAACTACTGTATTTTGGAAAATGAAAAATTCAATCAATTCCTTCAAATTTATGGGCGCCTAGGATTCCTGCCTCCTGACTGGCTCTTTTTAGAAGGCCGAGGTGGTTCCTCAGCTAGTTTTTATTGGTGGTTCATTTGGCATTTCGTTTCGCTTTCCACATTTCTTCAACTTGTGCATATGTGATTCTTTTTCCTCCCCCTACCCTGCTTCTCCAACCTCAAGATTCTTGGATATCCCTCTGAGACCTGTTAAAATACAGCTCATTATCCCACTCGTGCCAACGTCATGAACTCTGGCAACTATATTCAGGCATAGGTGAAGTATACATAGCCTACAAGATTCTGATTCAACCAGCACTTATGAATTACTTCCCGTATGCAATTCACATACATTCCTTGATTATAACCTTAAGCGCTAGGGTCGAGGTAGCTGTTATTATTTCCTTTTTATGGGTAAAGAAGCTGACTGAGTAAGCATAAATGACTCACTTTTAAGTCGCATAGATAATAAATGAGAAAACTTACATTGGAACCTAAGCTTTTGACTTCATATCTAATGCTGCCTTAGAATTAAGAGTTAACAGTGCCCTCCCTTGTTACTTGGCCACTCAGAAGACCATAACCACAGCAGTTACACTGCCAGTCATGTGGTATCAGAGGACTTTTTATAAGGCCAACTATGTGGGATAAGGCAGCTCCTCACAGCAAATATGCTGCCTTGGTCTCCTGGAGTCCTGCCCCGATGACATTGACCTGGAGGTTCCCCCACCACCTCAATCTCTGGCCCAGGAGGTTAACATCCTACTTTCCCATTCCAACCCTCACAAACAGCTCAGGAAATGAAGCTGCCCTGTCAAGGCATCCATGATCCAGTCTTTGGGAAGCCAGCAAGACCATCACTCACAATTCTGGGTGGCCTGTGGGTCTGGCTGCTGTGGAAGGAACCTGCCAGATCAAATCACTTAATGGAGATGCTATAAAACAGGGAGGAGGGAAATTAGGCGTGTTTGCTTTCTTCTTCCCAAAGACTTGGCGCGTGTCGCTGTTATCCATGAGTGTTCTTACTGTTTGAATGCTTTGCTCTCAAATTGCTGGTGTCTGGAACGCATGCTGGGCATTCAGATAGCAGTATCCTGTTTCTACCGCAGTCCCCAACTTCTTGGAACTGAACACACTTTTTTCTATTTCTGTGTGTACATTAGGCACAGAAACCTTGAAGAGAAGGATTGTACCCACCATGTTGTCATTATTATTCCTATGCAGCGTGCAGAGCTGTAGTTTAACACAGCCACGTGTTGGCTTGTACCAGTTGCTGCAATAAGAACTAAGATTGATTGAGAGCTCACTCTATACTAGGTAGTAAATTAGGTGCTCTACACGCATTACAACTCCTCGAAGGGTAGGAAATATGTCCAGGGCTTTACAAAGTTAAGTAAATTACCCAGCATCGCAGTGGTAGCAGATACTAAGGCCAAGATTCAAATCCTTGTCTAAATGACACTGGAACCATGCTGTGAGATAGGTTATAAGACAGCAGCAAGCCAGTACTTGCTTCACTGGTCTCCTTTAAGACTGTCTTAAACGAAGTAAGGAAATCGAGGCAAGCCCTCACATAATTGCACATTGGCCATTCATAGTTTCTATGCCAAGTAACAGAAGACTGCAGAAAGAAGCATTGGTCAGAGGAATTTGGTCAGAGTCAGTGCCAGTTTTGCCTTTTCTGTCGAGGTTCTGTGGACTGAGTTGCTTCGTGTATCCTTATATGAGTTTGGCTAACATAATCTCATGAGTTTTCAAACACTGTTATATGGACAAGTGGCAGACATGGAAATGAGAAGAGCCAATGAGTTTTTCTGAACCTGGCTTGTCCAGCACCCCACCTTTCTAACTGTGATCTTCCCAGTTCTTTGATGAGGGCTCTTCCTCGAAGAATCTGTCGCTGGTCGGGAGAACCAGCTGAACGCTCTTTCTCTCTAGAATGCTTGGGTTAGATCTGGTCGTGCGCGATGACAATGGGAACATCTTGAACCCAGATGAAACCAGCACCATTGCCCTCTTCAGGGCCCATGAAGTGGCCTCAAAAAGGATTGAAGAAAAGATCCAGGAGGAAAAGGTACACTTCCTCAAGTGTGCAGATTCTGATTGCTGAGCTTCTGTTTTTGTTTTGGTTTTTAATCATTGACAAAAGAGGTAGCGATGTTTAGACAATCAATTGTGTCCTCGTTTAAAAAGTGAGACATAGCAAGAATAATAAGACAGGTATGTATGTTCTGATATGGCAAGATTGCAAGGATTTATATTAAGTGAAAAGAACAAGATGCAGATCAATGTATGTAAAATACTATTATTTATATTTCCAAAAAGAATATACATCTATGCTTGCATATACATAGATGCACTCTGCAATGATAGACAAGAAATTGATAATTAGCAGATGCCTCTGGGAAGGAGAGCTGGGTGGGAGGGATATGTTTTAATTAGTGATATTCTGAATTTGGCACATATATCACAATTTTTTAAAAAACCACTTAAAGGTAAAATGTTTGAAAGATTTTGAGGGTAATGAGTGAACGTTAAACAAAAATTATAAAGAAAGAGAAAAAGTCAAAAGCCCCCTCTCTTATGACTGCCCAGACCCAACCATAATGACATCTTGGTATATTTTTTTCTTTTCTTTTCTTTTTTTGAGTTGGAGTCTCACTCTGTCACCCACACTGGAGGGCAGTGGCACGCTCCCGGCCACTGTAGCCTCCATCTGCTGGGCTCCGGCGATCCTTCCGCCTCAGCCTTCCAAGTAGCTGGAACTACAGGCGCGCACTACCACGCCTGGCTAATTTTTGATTTATTGTAGAGATGAGGTCTTGCCAAGTTGCTTGGTCTGGTATCAAACCTGCGGGCTCAGGCAAATCCACTCACCTCAGCCTCCCAAAGTGCTGGGATTACAGGCTGAGCCACTGAGCCCGGCTATTTTTTTCTTCTAGTCTTTCTATTCCAGTAGCTAAAGATTCACATCTATTTTCTTTAGTTTGTAGTTTCTCCTTCTTTAGAACAATCATGATGGTATTTGTGTTTCCGAGTCCAATGGAAAATCAGGACCAAGCATGAAGTCAATAGAATGTTTTGTTTCCAGTAAAAGCAGTCATGAGACAGCATTAAAAAAGAGGGATAAGGGATCATAGTTTCTGTGCTTTAAAGCTTCAACTAGAAGCCATCATGTGAGATGAGAACTTCTTGAAGTGGCAAAAACCATGAGTTAAACCTTTGAGACTGCACTTATTGAATGACTGGGTTCAAGGTCCTGCACGGGACAGTGTTGGTCATCAAAATAATGATCATATTTTGCTCATTCCATTTGCATACTTGATTCTCAGCAAGCGCGTCTCCTCTCGGGTGGTGATTATGCTTGTCCACCATTTGCAGACTGATTCTTTGCCAGCATTTTTCACTTGCTGAAACCGAGATGCTCTTCTCTCTTCCCCTGTGTTCAGTCAATCCTGCAGAACCTGGATTTGCGGGGCCAGCCCATCTTCAGTGCCATCCACACCTATGGCCTCTATGTGAACTTCAAGAACTTTGTCTGCAACATCGGGGAAGATGCAGAGTTGTTTATGGCCCTCTATGACCCAGACCAGTCCACTTTTATCAGGTCGGGGAAACCCAGCTTACCTGCTGTTGACCTTGCAGCAATACCCAGCCTTCATGTGCCACTTCCTGAGGTCTTATTGCTAGGTTTGAGAAAGGAATACAGAGAAGAGGGGAAAGATTTCTAGGTAGTAGAAAGTAAAACTCTTTGGACTGCCAAACCTTTATGTATCACTGCTGAAACAGAGCAGCCACAGTTTTGTATATTCTCTGAGATTTGGAGATCTAATGTAAAACTCATCAGGACATGAAGACAGGGGAAAAAAGAATTTAAAACACTATGAGGGGCGGGGTGCGGAGGCTCAAGCCTCTAATCCTAACACTTTGGAGGCCAAAGTGAGAGGATTGTCTGAGCCCGCGGGTCTGAGACCAGCCTGGGCAACAGGATGAGACCTCGTCTCTACAACAAATCAAAAAATTAGCCAAGCATGGTAGCACATGCCTGCGGTTCTGGCTACTTGGAAGGCTGAGGTGGAAAGATTGCCGGAGCCCGGCAGGTTGACGATGGGGTGGCAGTGACCATGCCACTGCACTCCAGCCTGAGTAGCAAAGTGAGACTCAGACTTAAACACACACACAAAGCCCACTATAAAGAGGATGACAGAGGTATGAGTCGGTGGAGCATGGGATTTTTAGGAGAGTGAAACTATTCTGTTGTTTATCTTTTTTATTTTTTTATTTTTATTTTTATTTTTTTTGAGTTGGAGTCTCACTCTGTCGCCCAGACTGGAGTGCAGTGGCCACTCCCGGCCACCGCAGCCTCGACCTGCTTGGCTCTGGCCATCCTTCCACCTCAGACTTCCGAGTAGCCGGAATTACAGGCATGCGCTACCACGCCCGGCTGATTTTTGGATTTATTGTAGAGATGAGGTCTCGCTGCCCAGGTGGGTCTCGAACCCGCGGGCTCAGGCAATCCACTCACCTCAGCCTCACAAAGGCGCGGGATTACAGGCTGAGCCACCGAGCCGGCTTCTGTTGTTTATTTTTTCCTTTTCTTTCCTTCCTCCCTCTCTCCTTCCCTCCCTCCCTCCCTTTTTTCCTTTTGTCTTACTTTGTCACCCAAGCTGGAATGTAGTGGCATGATCATGGTTCACCTCAGCCTCAACCTTCAGAGCTCAGGCAGGCCTTCTGCCTCAGCCTCCCTAGTAGCTGAGACTACAGACATGCTTCCTGGCTGATGTTTTATTTTCAGTAAAAATGAGGTCTCGCTATGTTGCCCAGACTGGTCTCGAACTGGGCTCATCCTCTTGCCTCAGCCTCCCAAAGTGTTGGCATGAGCCACCGTGCCCGGTTAAAAAAAAAAAATTTTGAATGTGGTCATGTGAATTACAGGGGGTGGTCATGTGAATTACAGGGGATGGATTTGGGATGACTGTTATAAAATTAAATTAAATTCTTCATTCAGCAAAGCTGATATTGTTATACACATAATTTGAAATGGAAGCAAGGCCCCAGATGATAGAACCTTAGAAGGTCTAGTGTGTCTCTGCCTGTCTGGAGCCGTGTGTTGGAGGTGTGCCTTGTGGGGCCACAGCAGGGACACTTCTCCAAAGCTGGGACACCTATTAGTGGCCCTTTGTGTGGTCTCAGTTCCCGCCTCAGCTCCCTTCAGCCTGTTGAATTGAACTGAGCATTTCTAGACCTTCCTTGTACCCTTGTAAGTGTATACTAAGGTCAGCCTCCGTCCCCAGTTAGCCTCTCATTAAGAATATGTTTGTTTTCTTCACCAGTGAGAACTATCTGATTCGTTGGGGCAGTAATGGGATGCCCAAGGAAATAGAGAAGCTCAATAACCTTCAAGCGGTGTTTACTGTAAGTCCTATCTTCTGTTTCATCGCCTTCCTTGTTTATGACATGAGCAAATTCACATAATGAGCATATGGAAACATAAAAATGAAAAGGTGAATAGAAAAAGCGGGCAGGTTCGGTGGCTCAGCCTGTCATCCCAGCACTTTGGGAGGCCAAGGCGAGTGGATTGCCTGAGCCTACGGGTTCGAGACCCACCTGGGCAACTTGGCGAAACCCCATCTCTACGATAAACCAAAAATTAGCTGGGCATCGTAGTGCACGCCTGTAGTTCCACCTACTTGGAAGGCTGAGGCGGAAGGACGCTGGAGTCCAGCAGGTTGAGGCTGTGGTGGCCAGGAGCGTGCCACCGTACTCCAGTCTGAGTGACAGAGTGAGACTCCAACTCAAAAAAAAAAGAAAGAAACAAAAACAGTCCTCTTGGCAGGAGGATTATTCAGCACATACTTTTAAAATTTTTTATTTTTTTATTAGCACATACTTCTTGAACACCCGTTAGGTGCTAGGCACTGGCGTAGACATTTGAGATGCATCTGTAGGTAAATAAGAGAAAAAAATATTCCTGTTCTCCAACAGCTTTGTTCTGATGGGAAAGACACAATCATAACAACTACCAAATCAGTGAGTAAATTATATAGAATGTGAAAAGTTCTCAGTTCTCTGGAGGAAGGGGAGTCATTGAACTCCTGGGCTCAAGCAGTTCTCTTGGCTCAGCCTCCCAAAGTACTGAGATTACAAGCGTGAGCCACTGCACGCAGCCAAGATCCTGGAACACTTCTTTCTTTCTTTCTTTTTTGTTCTTTTTTAAATTACTCTGAAGTATATTTTTTGCTGTTGTTTTGAGTAGGAGTCTCACTCTGTCGCCCAGGCTGGAGTGCAGTGGCACGCTCATGGCCACTGCAGCCTCGACTGGCTGGGCTCAGGCGATCCTTCTGCCTCAGTCTTCCAAGTAACTGGAACTACAGACACACGCCACCATGACCAGCTAATTTTTTGGGGGGGATTTATTGCAGAGATGAGGTCTCGCCAAGTTGTCCAGGCTGGTCTCAAACCCGTGGGCTCAGGCAAGCCTCTCGCCTCGGCCTCCCAAAGTGCTGGGATTATAGGTGTGAGCCACAGTGCCCGACCCGAACACGTCTTTAAAACTTGCTGCCCACTCACCACACAGAATAGTCCGTCTGCTCTAAGATGTGTGTGTTTCTTCCTATCATCAAAAGACATTTATGAGTCCATCTGTACGTTAAAAGAAAAACCACATTAGAAAAGGCATTATTGACTCTGGTCTATCTCCTAGTCAATACCATGTTGGAATTACTGTAATTCATCCCCTTTCTCCTTCCGTTAGGAACGTACATTTCTTGTCCAGCTTTTTCGGTTAAATGAAACGCAGTGACCGTCACTTTGGTCGTTAAACATTTTTCAGAAACTTCATTTATAAATGATTATATGTTATTTAATAATACTGTGGTCTTCACTTGTCCATAGTTTTGCTTCCTGTGGTCCAAAAATATTAAATGGAAAATTTGAGAAATAACTTGTAAGTTTTCAGTTGTGCACCATTCTGAGGGGCGTGATGAAATCTTACACCGCCTGTCTGGGACATAAACTGTCGCTTTGTCTGGCAGGTCCATACTGTAGACACTCCCCACCCAAAAGTCACTTAGGAGCCATCTCAGTTATCAGATTGAGTGTCTCGGTATCATAGTGCTGTTCAAGTCACCCTTATTTTACTTATGGCCCCCAAACGCAAACGTAGTGATGCTGGTAATTTGGATATGCCAGACGGAAGCCGAAAAGTGCTTCCTTTAAATGACAAGGTGCAACTTTATCACATGTATATGTAGGAAGAAACATAGTATGTATAGGGTTCCTACTAGCTGTGGTTTTAGGCATCCACCGGGGATCTCAGAATGTATCCCCCATGGATAAGAGGGGATGACTGTTTCAACAATATGCCACAATTTATGCAACGGGTCACCTGTAGTCTTTATTTTTTCTATTAGCAGAAGCTTTGTAGAACCAAGAGTAGAAATCCAGACATTATCACTGATATATATTTCTATCTTGGAGACCTGCGTTAACTAAATTACAGGGGATGGGTTTGAAATAATTATCTTAAAAGTAATTCTTGATTCAGTAAAAAGGCTTTGGGCAGCTGTTTCATAAAAACACTTTGAGATGTGATTAAATTATTTTTGATGTTAAATTCAATGAGATAACGTGAGCTCGTTCCTGGGTTTACTCACCCATCCTGAAGAATACAGACAAGCATAGACCATCCTCCACCCAAAAACACAGGCATTTCATTGGCACATCTCATTCAACATATGCTGAGATGCTCTCCATGGATGCCTCTCATGAATCAGAGGACTCGTTACAGAATTATTATTATATTTTTTGAGTTGGAGTCTCACTCTGTCACCCAGACTGGAGTGCAATGGCTGCTCCCGGCCACCACAGCCTCGCCTGCTGGGCTCCGGCGATCCTTCCGCCTCAGCCTTCCGAGTAGCCGGAATTACAGGCATGTGCTACCACGCCCGGCTGATTTTTTGATTTTATTGTAGAGATGAGGTCTCGCTGCCCAGGCGGGTCTTGAACCTGCGGGCTCAGGCAATCCACTCACCTCAGCCTCCCAAAGGTGCGGGATTACAGGCTGAGCCACCAAGCCCAGCTCATTACAGAATTATATATTATATCTTCTAGTTGCCTCCTAGAATTGTTTTGAAGATGAAATGTCACAGACTCGTGTGACTGCCTGATAAATGTCAATGTTATACAGGTTTTTATTTCATTTGACCCTGAAATGCATCCTGCATTGAGATACCTACTGGAAGGAGATACAGCAGCAACCACGAACGTCCTGATTCTTCAGTACCTTGCTTGACTTGATGAACTAGAGACTTTAGATGAATTCTGATTTGATTTGTAACTTTGAGCTAGGAGCTAGGGAGTTTTTTAAAAGTACTTTTTTACCAACACCAAATAATTTTCTCGGATGCCATAATAGTTCTTAGACAGATATGGGGAAGGGTGGGACTGTTCTGGTATTTGGCCTTGGGGAATAGGCGCCAGTGTTTTGTTGTAAGGTGAAAAGCAGAGAGACATGCAGGGAACACACGAACCCAGTCCAACCTCCTCTCACTCTTTCTCTGCCCTTTTAGGACCTCAGCAGCACAGACCTCATCCGGCCCCGCATAAGTCTCGTGTGCCAGATCGTCCGCGTGGGCCACATGGAGTTGAAGGAAGGCAAGAAGCACACCTGTGGGCTCCGAAGGCCTTTTGGAGTGGCAGGTACAAGACAGATGCAGGAACAGATGCAATGTGGTGCAGCCGCTGTGGAAAGCAATATGGCTGTTCCTCCAAAAACTATGCCTGGGACTGTCAAATGATCCAACAGTTCCACTTCAAAAGAATGAAAATCAAAGTCTTGAGGAATATTTGCACACCCATGTTCATGACAATATTATTCACAATAGCCAAAAAGGTGCCAGGCACGATGGCTCATGCCTATAATCTCAGTACATTGGGAGGCCGAGGTGAGAGGCTTGCCTGAACCCAGAGGTTCGAGACCAACCTGGGCAACTTGGTGAGACCTCGTCTCTACAATAAATCAAAAAAAGTAGCCGGACATGGTGACACGTACCTGTGGGTCCAGCTACTTGGGAGGCTGAGGCAGAAGGATCACGTGAGCCTGGCAGCTCAAGGCTGTGGGGGCCTTGATCGTGCCCCTGCACTCCAGCCTGGGTGATGGAGTGAGATTCCAACAACAACAACAAAAAGTAGCCAAAAGGTGGAGGCAGCCCAGGCATCCATCGACACACGAATGGATGAAAATAACGTGGTCTGTACACACAATGGACTATCACTTGCCTTGTAAAGGAAATTCTGACACACGCTACTTCATGAATCAACCTTGAGGATGCCATGCTAAGTAAAATAAGACAGATTGTATGATTCCACTTAGATGAGATATCTAGAGAAGTCAGATTTATAGAAGTAGAGTAGAATGTGGGTTGCTAGGGACTGGGGGAAATGGACTGTGGTTATTTAATGGGCGGAGTTTCAGTTTGAGAAGATGAGAAAGTTCTAGAGATGGATGGTGGTGATAGTTGCACAGCAATGTGAGTGCACTTAGTGCCACTTAAAAATAGTGAAGATGGTCACTGCCTATTTTTGAAGGTAAAATAAAAATTTCTCCGTTTTGAGGGGGCCGCTTTTTGCGGGGTTCCAGGGAGCGGCAGTCTGACATTAGGCTGACTGTGGTGACCTGCTGTCCACAGCTTTATAAACATCATTTCCCAAGCCTCACATGCTGTTTTGTTGTCTGAGTGACTTTTGGAAAGGCGTTCCTTTTTTTTATTTTTTATATGAGAATTGTGTCATATCATAGTCCTTCTTTTTTTTTTGAGTTGGAGTCTCACTCTGTCACCCAGGCTGTAGGGCAGTGGCTCGCTCCCGGCCACGGCAGCCTGGACCTGCTGGGCTCCGGCGATCCTTCCGCCTCAGCCTTCCGAGTAGCCAGAATTACAGGCGTGCGCTACCACGCCCGGCTGATTTTTTGATTTATTGTAGAGATGAGGTCTCGCTGCCCAGGTGGGTCTCGAACCCGCGGGCTCAGGCAATCCACTCACCTCAGCCTCCCAAAGGTGCGGGATTACAGGCTGAGCCACCGAGCCCGGCCATAATCCTTCTTTTCATCTCCTATAGGTTATCTGGGGAGTGAACCCTTAATGTGTGTTTTATGACCACAGTGTACCTGCTTAGTCAATTATTAATTAATCAATTAATTAATCCTTAGTCTCATGCGGAGTGCCCTGAACTTCAGCAGCTTTGAAGTGGCCCACTTATTAATTCTTTAGACAGAATTAATGGTAGGATTTGGTGACTAATGGTGATGGTAGAATTCGTCTCTGTATTCACTGTTGGGTTCATACCTTGGCTTCACCACTTAAAGACCAAGGGCAAGTTCTTTAGCTCATCTGTGCCTCAGTTTCCTCACCTCTCAAAGTGAGGCTAAGACTATCTGTATAAATTAGATAACACATGCAGTGGGCTTAGAACAGTGCCTCATTAAGTGATCTGCTTTTGGGTCGAAGAGCAAATCACTGTGTGATCTCTTTTGTGCTGCTGGTTCCCGGTTTATGTAGAATCCAGGTGAGAGGATGTCAAGTCAAAGAGAGAGTTGATCACTTCAAGTCTCAAGTTTCTTCCCTCGTCTTTAATTCCTCTGACACTTCTGCCAAAACGACGTGCTCTCTATGGCTTTGAATGCAGGCTTACTCCAAAGTAACCCAGTGTCAAATTTCTCCAGAATTTAGCAACACCATCTTGTGGAGTTATTTTTTTGTTTTTAATTTTTTTAAAAGTTTTTAATAGAGATGGGGTCTTGCGTAGGCTTGACTCGAACTCCTGGGCTCAAGCAGCCCTCTCGCCTTGGCCTCCCAAAGTGCTGGAATTACCAGTGCGAGCCACCGCGCCTGGCTGATCTTGTAGAGCTTTTAAAGGAAGTAATCTGGAGAATCGAGCCAGTAAAATCCAAGCCCCTTCCTGAGCATTCCATGAGCTGCTCTTTTGCTGGGCTGGGTACATTGGAAAACATCATTGGCAAAGAAATAAAAGAAACATCCCTGCTTGGTATCTTTGATCCTCCAGTGTTTTGTGTTAGCTGATCCTGTGTCCTTTTCTGTAGTAGTTACTGAGGCATGAAGCAATTACTTTCCTTAATCAAGTTTATCTTTTTCCTAGTGATGGATATTACTGATATCATACACGGGAAGGTGGATGATGAAGAAAAGCAGCATTTTATTCCCTTTCAGCAGTAAGTACTTTGGCACGCATCCCAGTGACTCGAGACCTGGATTAGCTGTTCGAATGGGGTGCTAACACAAAAACAGGTGCTAGAAACCATTTTCTCAGTTAGGGAAGGAAAGATTCTAAGCTGGCAGATTATCAGATAGGAGCTAGGACAGAAGCTTTCTTCAAAGTGCTTTCTGTTGGACTCTCATGGAAGAGAGTAAACTGAATGTTCCTGATACTGCAGAACTGACCAAAGAAATAGAGAGAACACATGTCTCTCTGCACTGGAATCTAGAGAATGGTGCCATTTTTGTGTCAGAAATGCGAGAGTGTATATGCAGGTATCATGGAAGACAAGGTATCATGTGGACAGCATAGGGCTTTTTTTTTTGAGTTGGAGTCTCACTCTGTCACCAAGGCCAGAGTGCAGTGGCACGCTCACAGCCACCCCAGCATCGACCTACTGGGCTCCGGTGATCCTTCTGTGTCCGCCTTCCAAGTAGCCAGAATTACAGGCGTGTGCTACCATGCCTGGCCAGTTTGTTGATTTCTTGTAGAGACGACATCTCGACAAGTTATCCAGGCCGTTCTCGAACCTGTGGGCTCAGGTAGTTCCCTCATCTCAGCCTCCCAAAGTGCTAGGATTATAGACTTGAGCCACTGTGCCCTGCCAGGGCTTCTTAAACTGTATCATAACTATGAATCACCAAGAGATCTTGTTAGGATGAAGAAGTCTGAGGTCTGCATATAACAAGCTTCCAGGTGATGCTGTCCAGACTATGAGTAGCAAGTGTTTAGGAGATAAGAGAGTAAAGGGCTAACAAACCCCCATGGGTTAGGATTCCTGCGGGTGGGGAGAAAGTCCACCTGGGAGTGCAGGAAAGAATCCCCACAGAGCTTTACTAAGAACCCCCAGTTTCAGGAGCTGGAGCCGTCAGTGGACCATTAAGGGGGTGCTGCTGGGAGCGAATCTCAGGCCCTGTAACTCTGAGGAAGTGCTTATGTTAGTATCACAACCTCCTCTTGCACCTGCACAGATGGTGGTGGCCTAGCAGGGACTGGGGACATTACTGGAACTGAACCCCCCCCCCCACCAGGGGCCGTCATGCCAGTTAGAGGTCATTGTCTCGGCTCGCTGACTGCTGCTACTACAGTTCAGTAGAACAAACAGCTCCAGCAACCGACCCAAGGGTGTGAGTTAACATATCATTTTTTTTTTTTTTGAGTTGGAGTGTCACTCTGTCGCCCAGACTGGAGTGCAGTGGCCGCTCCCAGCCACCGCAGACTCGACCTGCTGGGCTCCGGCGATCCCTCCACCTCAGCCTTCCAAGTAGCTGGAACTACAAGCGCGTGCTACCATGCCTGGCTAATTTTTTGATTTATTGCAGAGATGAGGTCTTGCAAAGTTGCCCAGGCGGGTCTCGAACCCGCAGGCTCAGGCAATCCACTCACCTCAGCCTCCCAAAAGCTAATATATCATTTTTTAACAAATGATATCGCAAATTTGTGGAGAAAGATAAAGTATGCCAAAAAACAAAATTGGGGGGAGAAAACTAGCTAACTATTTAAGAAATGTAAGTTAGAGCCTAGTCTCATGACTTATACCAATGTAAACTCCAGATGATTGAACAGATAATCGTAGAGCTAAAATCTTAATGTGTTACAGGAAAATAGAAGGTTTACATAATAGTGATGGGAGGGAAGCCATTTTTAAGACACCAAAGATTCAACCAAAAATAGAAAAGTTGATAAGTTCAACCACCTCCAAATTGTAAACAACTTATACAAAAAAAAGTGTACATACATTTTTCACACAGATACATACATTATATACATAGAAAAAATGCAGTGCATACGCAAAAGGATGAGTTTTCTTAATATATAAAGAATTAATAGAAATTAATAAGACCTAAAAAGGTTGTTACAGTACACTAAAAGTCTTTAAATTTAGATACTTCAAATATACACACAGAGAGAGAAGTGGCATTGTAAATTCACTGAGGACCAATGAAATGCAAATTATAAGGTCTTTTTCCCAGTATGGGACCTGGAAAAAAAAAAAAGGGAAAAAATAAGGCTTAATTTTGACTTGAACATGTTTTTAGAATATATATAAGATCAGCTGGGACTCAGTGGCTCAGCCTGTAATCCCAGCACTTTGGGAGGCCAAGGCGAGTGAATTGCCTGAGTCTGCCGGTTTGAGACCCCCCTGGGTAACTTGGCGAGACCTCATCCCTACAATAAATCAAAAATTAGCTGGGTGTGGTAGCATGCACCTGTAGTTCTGGCTACTTGGAAGACTGAGGTGGAAGGATCGCCAGAGACCAGCAGGTCGATGCTGGGGTGGCTGTGAGCATGCCACTGCACTCTATCCTGGGTGGCAGAGTGAGACTCCAACTCAAAAATAAAATTAAATTAAATTACAAAAATATATGTATAATACCCAGTGTTTGGGCAGGGATAAAGAAACATACTTATAGTAATATAAGTTGTTACAGTACACTGAAAGTTTTTAAATTTAGCTACTTCAAATAATGTACTCCATAATTAACAGTGATTATTTCTGTTGGCATAACGGTTGGTGATTTTGCTCCTGTTTTTTATCTGTTTCCTATTTTTTTCTAAGACAAATGTGCACAATAGCTGTATAATTTTATTTAAAATATAAAAATTCTAATATTTTCATTTAGGTCTAGCATCTTTGGACTAGTTTCTAAGTATAAGAGTCCAAGTGGCTTATGCTAAGTTCTGTTTCCCTCTTTGATCCAGAGGCTGCTATGAATTATTTCTAACATATGTGTTTGTCTGATATCCCACCACCTATACATGGAACTTCCAAGAATATGCTGTGTTAAATATTTTATGCAGCTTAGTGCTAGTATTAATTATTGATAACTTTCGTATCCATGAATGCTGCTCCTGTTACATACACTTATATACACAGTATATACTCACACATGCATATATTCTATAGCATATAAGTATTTAAATAAGTATGTTAGATACATACCATGTTGAATTTAATACAGTATTCATTTGTTAATTGATTAAAGGTAGAAATACGTAAAATAAAATGTAATATGTTAAGTAAATAAAATGCAGTTGTACGTCACTTAACTGCATTCTGAGAAATGCCTCGTTCGCCGATATCCTCATTGTGCAAACATCACAGAGTGCACTTACACAATTAGGTGGTGTAGATTACTACACACTTGGGCTATAAGGTATAGTCTATTGCTTCTAGACTGAATACTGTAGACAGTAGTAACACAGTGGGATTTGCATATTTCCATTTATCTAAATATAGAAAAGATAACATGCTACACTGTGACAATTTGATGGCTACAGTGTCACGAGGGGACCGGAGTTTTTCAGCTCTTTTATGCTCTTATGGGATCACTGTTGTACATGTGGCTTGTTGACTGAAACATTGTTATGCAGCACGTGACTGTATATTGAATAAAATGTAAATATGTACAAAACGTAATATAATCCTTCTGATAAATACAATGCTGCTTCTATTAGATATGATTTATTATTATGTAGGTATATATCATTTATTATTGTTATACATACATAATAGGAGCAGCATTCATGGATATGAAAGTTATCTGAAATATACATGTATTTGCTTTCACCTTCATGGTAATTTCTTCCTTTGATTTTGTGCCTTCCTGCTTAATTTCTGAAGCAGCTCACCTTCAGCTGCCAATCTCAGGGTGACAGTGAGCCCTGAGATTGTCCCCACTGTGTAATAATACACGGTTTGAGTCCCTGACGAACCTAGTCTTGCTTTGATTACTGCTCACTGTCCAGCCAGCAACTACAGCATAGTGTCCCCTGTGCACATTGCAGCTTCTGGCATTTAACTCCTAAGATTTATGGCAAGGGCTTCCATAACCTTACTTCAAAAACCTTACAGTGTTTTCCACTAGGGTGGTTGTGCATGTTTTTCTGCAAGTTCATCTAAAGAGAATCATTTGAAAAAACAACTCAGATTATGAGAGTTCCATTTGCCAGCTACAAATTGCAGTGTGTTTTACTGTCAGGGAACCCCGTGGAGAAGGCTGGCCAGCATATAGTGGACAGAGGAGACTGGAGACTATTGTATGCACCAGGCTGATAGGCAGTTACTGATAGCACTTCTGCCTTCCGAAGAGTGGTGGCATGCTTAGCTCTTTGATCACCCTTTACAAGCCTCAGCTTGGTTTGACCATGCCATTGCAATCCTAGATGTAGGTGGACATCTCACAGAAATCTTAGAACACCTACCAGATGCCCTGCACATACATTATTCTCCCACATGGAGGGTTGGCGCTAGCTGGACCTTCCAAAGGCCTGTGCTCCAAACCCATCTCTTACCAGGCTACTGAGGCTTTAAGGGAGACTCTTGCAAGCTCTTTATCAAGTAGAAGTAGAACTGGAAGCTGGATCTCCTGTCCCTCCCACAGCAGCCTCTGCCACCTTGGAAAGCATGACGCCTTGCCTCTGATTTTAGCTGTTAACATCAGGCCTTCAGTTTCGTTTATTCTTGGGATGGGGGCGTTCCCTCCCTTTGCCTCAAGTCATTTCCAAGATGAATTTAATGCTTGAGATAGACACCCAGTAAAAAAATAAAGATAGAAAAAGCCCTTTGGTTCGATGCCTTTAATGTCTGTATTTCAGATGATTCCCCCAAGACACGCCACCGTCTGCAGTTGTGCTGCAGAAACTTCCTCTCTTCTCTCTCCTTCCTTCCCTCTTCTGTCTTTCCCAGAATCGCGATGGAAACCTATATCCGCCAGAGACAGCTCATCATGTCACCCCTGATTACATCACATGTGATTGGGGAGAATGAGCCGCTCACTTCAGTCTTGAATAAAGTGATAGCCGCCAAGGAAGTGAATCACAAGGGGCAAGGTACACAGCCGTGGGCACTGACGAGGAGGGGACTTTGCTGAGGGTGGGGGAGGTTCAGAGCGGGGTCCTTGGACTCCTGCCCTGCCACTATCTTTCTCTGACACAAAGCAACCTCTGCGGGGGACCGCCCTCCTCGGCTTCCTGCCATAGCCACTTAATACTGAAGAACATGGAGATACACCCAGCAGAGAAGTGGGTCCCAGTTATGGCTTGTAAATTCTGTGTAGCAATTTTTTTTAAAAAATTGGAATCTCACTCTGTCACCCAGGCTGGCGTGCAGTGGCACCATCATGGCTCACCGCAGCCTCGACCTGCTGAGCTCAGGTGATCTTTCCACTTCAGCCCCACTAGTCACCAGGACTACAGGCACACACCATTAAGCCCTGCTAATTTTTTTAGTTTTTGTAGAGACAAGGTCTCACTCTGTTGCCCAGGCTGGACAAATTTTTATCCCATGAGTCTTTTCTCATTTTTTCTTCATTCTCAATGCTGACTCTAGGTAATCACATAAAGAAAAAGAGATTTGAGAATAATTGCATTCCTCTCTGGATAAGTGTATCCCATTATGTTTCCTTAAATTGAGAGGAAGGAGACCAAAATAATATAAATGAATATATATAAATATAAACGAATGCAAAAATGTTTAGTTGTTTTTAGTACCTCCATATAATGTTCTGTTGACACAGATTTTAACTAAGAGAAGTTCTGCTGATTTGAAACTGCATCTTTTTTTTTTTTGAGTTGGAGTCTCACTCTGTCGCCCAGGCTGGAGTGCAGTGGCACGCTCACGGCCACCTCAGCTTTGATCTGCTGGACTCAGGCCATCCTTCTGCCTCAGCCTTCCAAGTAGCTAGAACTATAGGCATGCGCCACCATGTCCAGCTAATTTTTTTTTTTAATTGTAGAGATGAGGTTTCACCAAGTTGCCCAGGCTGGTCGTGAACCCTGAAACTGCGTCTTAAATGAAATATAATCTGAAAACAAATAATTATCTGGGTTTTTTTGGAACTCTCAATCTAAGAATGTGATTTCAGTTAGAGTGGAAAACCCTTATACTAAATAGTTGCTATATGCATATACTTCTTTTTAACAAAGCTGAAAAAAATGGCATTTTCTCTCTTGTTGCTTAACAAAAAAAACTAGCTCTTTTCTAATGTTTATAATATCCTTCACAAATATTTTTTGTGACTGCATAATATTCCATTACTTAGGCCAGGCACAGTGACCTATGCCTATAATCCCAGCATTTCGGGAGGCCGAGGAGGGAGGATTGCTTGAGTCTAGGAGTTTGAGACTAGCCTGGGCAACATCACAAGAACTCATCTCTGCAAAAAAATGAAAAAATTAACTGGGTGTACTGGCATGCATCTGTAGTCCCATATACCTGGGGAACTGAGGAGGAAGCCCAGCACATTGAGGCTGCAGTGAGCTGTGAATGTGCCACTGCACTTCAACCTGGTGACAGAGTGAGACCCCCAACTCAAAAATAATAATAGTAATAATATTTCATTGCTTAGATTTAAGGAAATTAAGCCCCTAGATAATGACTTAAGTACTTTCTAATTTGCCACCATGATACATTTAAATAGTTTTGCTATGACTATGTTGGTACATGAAGCTTTTTCTATGTTGAAGACTACCTCCCCAAGAAAATTCCCAGAAATTGGATTTCTGGGTCTAGTGATGGGAACAATCCTACACCTGGAGATAGACATCTTGCCAAGTAGCCTGCCGTAGATTTCCACTGGTGGGCTCTCAGCACCGTGTTAGAGTATTCATTCTACTGCACTCTCGCTCACTTTGAGAACTGATACTTTAAAATCTTTACCTCTTTGGCAGGTGAAAAGTGGATTCCTGTAGTCCTCTTGCATTCTAAGAAACAACTTGAGGGTGAATTATCTAGCCTTTGTATATATTTATGAGTTTCCTAACGTTTTCCTTCTTAGTTTTATGAGCTTCATCTATATTGAAGATAATAATCTTTCTGTCTTAGTTAAGACACATATTTTCCCTGTATTAGCCTTTTTTACTTCCATGTGAATTGTCTATTCGTGTCCTATTTATTTGTGAGGATCTTAATATTTTTCCTCTAATGAATGTAAAATCAGTTTCTTATGTCACCATTTTATAGCATACTGTTTACTTTTCTGATGTGTATTGAGGCTTTTATTTTTTATATAGATAATTATTTTGCTTTTGTGATTTGTCTCATTTGTTCCTTCCCTTAGAAAAATTATTCATTCTCAGATTTAAGAATTACACACTTATTTTTTCTCTTTATTATGCTGAGAATTTGTTTTAATGAAAATATGAGGTGAGAAGTTAAATTCTAAGTAACAAGAAAGTTATCCCAGCACATTTACAAAATTATTGGTTTTTTTCATGATTTGTTATATCTTTTTGCTATATATTAAATTGCTGTGTTTCATAGTATTTAATTTCATTGTTTTATTTATCTTTACCATTAATATCACATATTAATCCACTAGTATTACACATTAGTGTAACTTTACAATATATTTTGGTATTGATTTATACCTTTTTTTTTTTAATCAGAGTCTTATTCTGTTGTCCAGGCTAGAGTACAGTGGCACGCTCACAGCCACCATAACCTCAACCTGCTGGACTCAGGCAATCCTGCCTCAGCCTTCCAAGTAGCTGGAACTACAGATGCGCACCACCAAACCTGGCTAATTATTTTATTTACTGTAGAGACGAAGTCTCGTCAATTTGCCCAGGCTGGTCTTGAACCTTTGAGCTCAGACAATCCTCTACCTCCACCTCCCAAAGTGCTGTGCTGGGATTACAAGCTTAAGACACTGCACCCAGCCCATTTATACTTTTTTTTTTTTTTTTTTTTTGCCAACAGCATCCCACATTGTAGCTTTACAATATATTTTGGTATCTGGTAGGGCTATCTTTACTCCCCCCAAAACCCCCACCCAAAGCAAGCATCTGTTCACATCTCTGTCAAATTCTCAAACAAGTCCTGTCGTGATTTTGATGGGGGTATCATTAAAATTATCAGTTAACTGGGGGATAATTTACATCTTTTCTTAACATTTATGTGTGTGTGTGTGTGTGTGTGTGTGTGTGTGTGTGTGTGTGTGTGTGTTTGTGTTATATAGATCATACAGAGAACTAAATGTTCATCTTTTATTTCTTTAAAGGACTTTGGGTGTCCTTGAAGCTCTTGCCAGGTGACCTCACACAAGTTCAGAAGAATTTTTCACACTTGGTTGACAGATCAACAGCAATAGCCCGGAAAATGGGCTTTCCTGAAATAATATTGCCAGGTAAACACTGCTTAACTCACCTATCTTCTTTCTGTGCCACAGTACTTCTAATTGGACAGTTGAGGGACTTTGGATCTATAAGATTTGGTGATTTACATTTGGTGTTTACCAAGTACTGGGAAATACAAACAGGGTTATAGCACCTTAAAAGGCTATCTAGTATACACTTCCAAGAGGATGCTTTTATATATGGAACTCAGAATTTTCTGCTCTCTCACTCTTCTTTGTATTCTACACAACTCCTCCCAAACAGCACAGTTCTCCATCCAGGAGACAACTCACTCCCTTTGCGTGGCCCTTTTCTCATTATTATATCCCCAGTATGGAGGTGCTTTGCTGTGCTCTGTCCTGGGGATCCCTTGACTCCATTGTCTTAAGCTCTGATTGTACTCTTCCTGTTTTTGTTGTGACAAGAATGCAAACATTCTCCAGTTTCTTGCTTTAGTTTCACTTTTTTTGCCACCACCTGTTGGTGACCTGTATACGTGTTCTTTTGAATTCACTGACTTCATTCATTTAATTTCTTAATCTCCATACTAGTAAGAGGAAATCAGTCCCTATTAATATAAGCACAAATAATTTGAATTAATATAATTTTATGCATTTATATTTTACAGAATATAATATTTTATAATAAAAATATATACATAAATATTTTATATGAAAATATGAAACATACATATACTTTATATTTTATAATATAGTATATAATATGTTGATAATAAGATATATTAAAATATATAAGCATGTATTTTTATATATTAAAATATTAAAATATGTAATTGTATAGTATATTTATGTTACATAATATTTATATCTCATGTAATATATAAATGTATAAAATATTATGTATACACATTAATATAAACTAATTGATAGTAATAAAAATTCTGGAAAACCAACCATGCCATGTTAGAAAAATTCTAGAAAACAAACTTATCTACTTCATAAAAATTCAGGTTATTTTAAAGTAATACAAGATTTTATTTTTTCCTTTGGGAGATTAAGGGGCAATTATAATTTGTTGCTGCATACAATGTCTGCCCATAGTAGATATTAAATGAATATTTGTGGAATGATTGAATAAAAGAGTTATCAAAATAAGAGGTTTTTTCCCTCATAAAAGAAGACAGTTCTTTGTTTATTTTATCCATTTCAGAGCTATTTTACCCTAATACACATTCTTCAACAATCTGGGAAAATGTTTTGTCTTGTCGTTTAAAAAGTAACTGTTGGTAATATTCCTTAAACTGAAGACAGTTTTACTGCTACAACAAGACAGGAATCTGAAAAAATAAAGTAGATAAATTTATTTTTTTGGACAAGGTGAAATTACCATTTAAATCTGGTTTGAAAAGAATATCAAGTTTTTTAATCAACAGGATTGGCTCATAGAGTGTCAGGCTTTAAAATGCATCTCGGACAATGATTTCCTGTGCTAGTCTGTGGATCAGCTAGTCCGCATCACCTTGGAAACTTTACGATATGGATTTCCAGTTTTCTCCAGAGGGGGACTCAGGGCTCCCCAGGTGATTCTGGTGGTGAGCCAGGTCTGAGAAATACAGGTTTACAAGGAAACTTCCCACCTCGGAGCTCCTTCCCATCACCGTGTGAAGGGGTTCCCGTCACCTCCTAACCTCTTTCTTCCCCACACTTGCCCTCTAGCTAAGACACTCTGGTTTCTGCCCTAGTCATTGCAGGCAGGTTCTTGGGAGTGATTATCTACTCCCTGTCACCTCTGCCAGTTCCCCTCCACCCTCTCCAGAGTGGCTGTCGCTAAAATCATCCATGATTGCAATGTCGCTATGTCTGATGGGTGTTTTGTAGCCTAGTGATCAGCTCTGACCTCTCAGCAGCATCTGACACTGTTAAAATATTTCCTTCCCTTCTTACCAGTGAACACACACTCTTCTCTTTTTCTCCATGGCCCCTGGGTCACTTCGGGGACTCCTTTGCCGCTTTATCCTCTTCTACCTCACCTCTGAATGTCAGAGTTCCTCAGTAGTTAATCCTTGGGCCCTGTGTCTGAGTTTGCTCGGGCTACTATCACAAAACACCATAGACTGAGCGGTTTACATAACAGACATTATTTTTTCACAGTTCTTGAGGCTGGAAGTCTAAGATCAAGGTGCTGGCAGGGTTGGTTTCTCCTGAGTCCTCTCTCCTTGACTTGTGGATGGCCATCTTCTCGCTGTGTCCTCACATGGTCGTCCCTCTGTGTGTCTGTGTCCTAATCTCCTCTTATGAGGACACCAGTCACATTGGATTAAGACCCACCCATATGACCTCATCTTACCTTAGTTACCCTTTTAAAAGTCCTGTCTCCAAATACAGTCACATTCCAAGGTACTGAGGGTTAGGCTGCCAACATACAAATTTGGGGTAGACACAGTTCAGCCCACACCAGGCCCTCTTTCTGTCTCATCTGTATTTTCTCCCTAGGTGACATCATCCACTCATTTGCCTTCCATCTGTACATTGCCTTCAAATTCTTAGTTCCAGTGCCAAGACCCCTCCCTTGAACCCATGGCCAGACAGCCAACTACTTCCTGCCTCAGGACTTGGGTGCATACTATTCCCACCCCCAAATGGGTCAGTCTTCTCTCTCAATTACTCCTTATTCAGCATTCCCATTTGGACCTCATCATTCTGTGCATCTAGACCTGAGTCTCCTCCCTTGTGTTTTGTCTAAGAGAAGAAGAACACCCCCATCCAGTTGCACAAACAAGAAGCCGGAAAGTCACCCTTGATATCTCTCTTTCCTTTGCACATCACCCAAAACTGGTGGATAAATAAGAAATCTTCCAGTTTTACCTTTGAAAGGCCTCTCAAATCCATCTGGGTCTCTCTTTCTCCATTGCCACGGCCTGGTTGGCTGTCCTGTTTCTACTCTTTCTTACCTCATCTCTTCTTATCCACACTGGAACACACCTGTTCCCTAAGCACACCTGATTTCCATTTATATTTAGGGTAAAGATATAAATTCTTATGACCTGCTGATCCTCTAGGATCTGACTTACGTACCTCTCCACACCCTCATCTGATTAAGCTGATTAGAATAAATACAAAGTACTGTACGGACCTTCAGAGACAGTGTCTATCTCTTCAAACTGTTCTATAGATTAATAAATTAACTGATAATTGATTAAATTCATACATGTAAGAGACTCTGACCAGTACCTGGGATGGAGCGCTCAGACAATAATGGTTCAGGTACAGTGGTTCACGCCTATAATTCCAGAACTTTGGGGAACTGGGCTAGAGAATCGATTGAGCCCAGGAGTTTTAGACCAGCCTGAGCACCACAATAAGACTTCATTTCTTAAATATATATATATATATATATTTTTTTTTTTAATTAGCCAGACATGGTAGTGTGTGCCTGTAGTCCCAGCTACTTGGGAGGCTGAAGCAGGAGGTTTGAGCCCAGGCGGTCAAGGCTGTGGTGAAACATGATCAAGCCACTGCACTCCAGCGTAGATGAAAGAATGAGACCCCAACTCAAAAATAAATAAAAAATAAAGTGTAAGATGGAATCTTTTTTTAAAAATAGACAATTGGCTGGGCTCAGTGACTCAGCCTGTAATCCTAGCACTTTGGGAGGTCGAGGCAAGTGGATTGCTTGAATCCACAGGCTCAAGACCAGCCCAGGCAACTTGGTGAGACCCTGTCTCTACAATAAATCAAAAATTAGCTGGGTGTGGTAGTACGTGTCGGTAGCTCTGGCTTCTTGGAAAGCTGAGGCAGTAGGATCGCTGGAGAGCCCAGCAGGTGGACAATGGGGTGGCCGTGAGTATGCCACTGCACTCTAGCCTAGGTGACAGAGTGAGACACGAACTAAAAAAAAAAAAAGACAATTACCTTAATTATTATCAGATGTATTGAAATATCACACACTCCCCAGGCATTATTGAAATAGCAGCCTGCCGCTATAACAAAATATAATATGTACTTATTATTAGACAGCACATTTTTAATATTTAGGGAAAGAATTAGGACAGAAAAAAGTTACCAAGCTATCTTGGTGTGTATAGAAAGAAAAAATGAGGTAAGCTGAAAAGAGCAATGGGTATGAAGAGCTTTTGTCCTATGAATAGTTCATTATGAAGCCAGACCATTTCATATTTATTTATGTTTTATGTCTTATGACCTCTGAAACTTAAAAAATGACTTCTTCCTGCAACACTCACCGCTTGGGTTGCCATGTTGCAGGAGATGTTCGGAATGATATTTATGTCACCCTGATCCACGGCGAGTTTGACAAAGGGAAGAAGAAGACACCGAAGAACGTGGAGGTGACAATGTCCGTGCATGACGAGGAAGGCAAGACCTTGGAGGTAACATGGCATCACCCAGAAACCCTGATGTCACACCCTATCTTTACAGTCATCATAGACTCCTAGTCTTATTTTAATTCCTCGTATCAGGGTGGGTTTGGTTTTCCATAAGGAAAGAAACACAAAACCTGCTCAATTTGTGATGAGTGTTGTCCAGTGTCACTAAGGAAACCATTTAGACTCTTATTTGTATATTTCTCCCATGCTAAGAAATGGCTCTGGGTGCTAATGAGGTCATATGCAAGCTTCCAAGCTGAGGTTTTTTATCATACAAGTCATCGAGCTGCTCTCAGGCTCAGTTAGTTTCTCGGGGGCTTGAGCCAAGTGGCCTGTGTGCTCCAGAGGTGCCAGCAGGCACATTTTCTTCCCCCTGTGAGCAGAACCAAAGGAGACGTGCCCATCGGAGACCATTTAACTGGAAGAGCCCTGGGTAGGGATCTGCTACCACTGCTCTTCAGTTTTCACGATCAGGAAACTTAAGGGTGCATTCCTTTCTCTGAAAAACACAAGAATTAGTGAATTAGTGGCAGAGCTGGGAACAGACCCAGGTATCCTGACTTCCTGTCCCCAGAGTTCCTCCAGCTCTGGCAACTTTCTGAGTGAATTTTTTTGTTTGTTTTTTGAGTCAGGGTCTCACTCTGTCACTCAGACTGAAGTGCAGTGGCATGATCTCAGCTCACCACAGCCTTCATCTTCTAGGGCTCAGAGGATCCTTTGGCCTCAGGCTCCTGAGTAGCTGGGACTTCAGGCTTGCGCCACCACATCCAGCTAATTTTAAAATTTTTTTTGTAGACATGAGGTCTTGCTATGTTGTGCAGGCTGATTGCGAACTCCTGGGTGAACAGTCTTCCCGCCTTGGCCTCCCCAAGTGCTGGGGTTACAGGAGTGAGCCACCACACCCAGCCTGAGAAGTGAGTCTTGATTGTTACATCAAAGAGAAAGGTTAGCAGGCGATGATCAGGAGGGCTCCATGGCCTGTACTGAAATCTGACTCCTCTCATACAAGCTGCAGCTACCTGCTTTGGAGACCAAGGATCAAGCTTTTTTTTCACTCAGCTCACCAAGTGTCCTACTGTGGTGCAGTGAAGTACAATCCCATCACTTCCCATGGATGGTCTAATTATTGAAGGAAACATATCCAAATAGTTTACTAAGTCTAGTTGTATTCTGTGTTGGAAGAATAAACCGAATGCAATGGGCCACTGCATGGGAGTGTTTTATTTGTGCTGTTGATGAGAGCCTTTGAGACCATGAGTTCATTTTAAGTACGCATCTTTTCCTATAGGTCATTTCCTAGCTTTGCTAACTATCTTGGAAGTGCCCTATTGAAGCCTAGTTCTACCCAACTAAGTGGTTCATTACTAGGAATGATGCAGCAGCCGGGCTTTGTGGCTTACCCTGTAATCCCAGCACTTTGGGAGGCTGAGGCGAGTGGATTACCTGAGCCCGCGGGTTCGAGACCAGCCCAGGCACCCTTAGTGAGACCTCGTCTCTACAATAAATCAAAAAATTAGCCGGGCGTGGTAGTGCACACCTGTAGTTTCGGCTACTTGTAAGGCTGAGACGGAAGGATGGCTGGAGCCCAGCAGGTCGATGCTGGGGTGGCCATGAGCATGCCACCTCACTCCAGCCTGGGCGACAGAGTGACACGCCAACTGAAAAAAAAAAAAAGTTGCAGCTCTAACTTTGAGGGACTGTGCTGTAACAGTCCACTGAGTCCCCAAAGCAGAATGTAGACGGGAAGGAAAAATCCTTTCCTGCAGACAGTGGTACATCTGCACGTGTGACCTAGCTCCTTGTCACCATCACTAAGCCTCTGTTCCCCAAGAGAGAAGAGAATCAGAGGAGAGTGCAGGCCTGGGGAGGAAGAGAGAATTAAAAATGCAGGAGAGAGGAGTATTTAGCTGCTACCAGAGTTATAGACTAAGCCCCTCAAATAAGCTGATAGATATTCAGTCTTACTCTACTGTTTATTCCTCAAACTTAGCTTACAGATGACAGCGTAGCACGTGTGGACACGTTAGGGGAGAAAGGCTGTGCGTGGTATGTATGGTCCTCTTACTTTTCTAGGTAAATTCTTCCCTCCTGATTTTTCTTCTTTCCATCCAAAGAAAGCAATTCATCCTGGTGCTGGCTACGAAGGCATTTCTGAATACAAATCTGTAGTCTATTATCAAGTCAAGCAGCCCTGCTGGTATGAGACCGTCAAGGTGAGAATGAGTCACGCCTAACCCCTGTCATCTGGTCAACCTCATTTAGATTCTTATCTTTTTTTTTTTAACCCCCAAATCATTCCTACTTTATCCTGAAGTTTTAGATAAGCTGCCTGTGATACACAGTAAGAAATGAATTGGTGATTATAATTCTGTATGAGATCATTTATCTTTTAAGAAATTCGGCATTCTTCAATAACATTCTCATTCATAAATATACAGAAATGTGCATAGAGAAACTTGTAGTTGTAATGATGTGATAGGCTGCCAAGATGATCCAAAAACCAAACCGAAGTTTTCACACTGTGCAAACAGTTTCCTAACATTTTTTTTTTCCTTCTTGGCCTCTAACCAAGTTTTCTGGGCCTCTTTTCAACTCAAATATGTATATTACAGATGCCAGAGAGCTTTTCAGATCAGTCATCTCCTCTGAGCCGCACAACTGCTCTTAGACTGGAACCACCAGGTGTGGGGGGCCCTCCTTCTTTGAGGCTCAAAGAAGTTATGCGACTTCTCAAGCTCTTAGCATGAACTAGTGTGAGCATCTGAACTAGAGCTCACTTCTGAATCCCAGGTCACCTCAGCTCTCTCTGATGATTGTCAAAGTCATATGAACCCTTCATAGAAAACTGGGGCGGGGGGGAGACTCAACTTACATCTCAATTTGGAGCTAACCGTTTTCAACACATGTATATAGTTATATGTTTTGAATGATGCTGTGTATATGTGCTTTTTAAAACTACTTATCTCAAGGCATTTCAAGTTCTTCAGAAATGTATTTTTAGCTGTTTGTATAATGTCCCAGTATATAATCATGCTATAGTTTAACGACTTGCCACAAATTCTCTGTTCTTTTTACTGCCCTGTGGTTCTGTTTTCCCACTCCTTTTTTTATAGTAAGCAGCAGAAAACTTCCTTGCCCCTAGTGTTTTATCTTTTCCTTTTGTTATAGACTCGAATTACGACCACATCAATATATACCTTAAAGTCTGAAAGGTCCCTTATAGACCTCAAAGTATAATTTTTTTTTTTTTGAGTTGGAGTCTCACTCTGTCACCCAGACTGTAGTGCAGTGGCCATTCCTGGCCACCGCAGCCTCGACCCGCTGGGCTCCGGCAATCCTTCCACCTCAGCCTTCCAAGTAGCTGGAACTACAGGCACGCGCTACCACGCCCGGCTAATTTTTGATTTATTGTAGAGATGAGGTCTCGCCAAGTTGCCCAGGCGGGTCTTGAACCCGCGGGCTCAGGCAGTCCACTCACCTCAGGGGTTACAGGCTGAGCCACCAAACCCGACCCAAATTATTTTTTTAAAGATGGCATCTTACTCTGTCACCCAGCTGGAGTTCAGTGGCATGATAATGGCAATCACGGCTTACGGTAGCCTTGACCTCCTGGGCTCAGGCAATCCTTCCACCTCAGCATTCCAAGTAGCTGGGACTACCATGCCTGGCTAATTTAAAATTTTTAAAATTTCTGTCTCTCTCTCTCTCTCTCTCTCTCTCTCTCTCTCTCTCTTTCTCTCTCTCTCTCTCTCTCTCTCTCGTTGGAATCTCACTCTGTTGCCCAGGCTGGAATGCAGTGGTACACTCATGGCTACCATAGCCTCTATCTGCTGGGCTTAGGCAATCCTTCCACCTCAACCTTCCACGTAGCTGGAACTATAGGCATGTGCTACCACGCCCATTTTTTTTGTTTTTTTATATTGTAGAGATGAGTTCTCACCAAGTTGCCCAGGCTGGTCTCAAACCCCTGGACTCAGACATTCCTCTCACCTCAGCCTCCCAGAGTGCTGGGATTGCAGGCTGAGCCACCACGCCTGACCTATAATATTTCTGAAATATACCTATTTTTGAGGTATATATTTGTATATATTTCAAAGTACCAATCTTTTCCGTCTGAAATGTTTACTATTTCATACTAGAGAAAATACTAGAAATTTGTAATATTTTCATACCCAGAATGTTATAAGCAACAAGGTGATCTTCCCCTGAGAGTCTTTTGATTTCAAAATAGCTCAGTCTCCTTTGAATGAAACCTTATGCTAAGTCTCACTCTATAGTAATTAGTGAGTGCTGTAACAAGATATTAAAATTGAGCCTCATTCTATAAAATGAGCCAAGAGCGCAAAGTACTGTGTATCTGTAAACTATTCATTTTCTACTATTTTGCAGGTGTCCATTGCTATAGAAGAGGTTACACGCTGTCATATAAGATTTACCTTCCGACACAGGTCATCTCAGGAATGTAAGTATTAGAAGATCTATGACATATTTTTATATAAAGCATTTTACTCTTGCTTGATAGCACCTTTGTAGATCTGGAGAACGAGATACTTGGAAACTAGATACTTATTTTGGGATTCATTGATACTAAAGAAATCGGAATAATCAATTTTGCTGGGCTTGCTAGGTCTGTGTTAGTACTCTATGCCAGAATTTCCCTGAAATGTCTTTGTGAACACTAACATTCTCTAAGATTTTGATAGATACTCTATGACAAAAGGGTTTCACAGTTAAATAGGTGTATAGGCCAAGCTCAGCCTGTAATCTCAGCATTTTGGGAGACCAAGGCAAGTGGATTGCCTGAGCTCGCGGCGAGACCAGCCCGGGCAACTTGGCAAGACCTCGTCTCTACAATAAATCAAATATTAGTCAGGCATGGTAGCATGCACCTGTGGCGGAAGGATCACTGGCATGAGTGTGCCACAGCACTCCAGTCTGGGTGACAGAGTGAGAATCCAACTAAAAAAAAAAATAACAATAGATGTACAAAACGTCATACATTATAACACCCTCCTAGACATTCACAATGGATGCTGCCATATTGCTGAGAAGTCCTGCAGCAAGAAAACTGTTTAAGGCCATGCATGCTGGCTCACGCCTGTAATCCCAGCACTTTGGGGGGCCACGGTGGGAGGATCACTTGAGACTAGGAGTGAAACACCTTCTCTACAGAAAAATAAGAAAAAAGAAAATTGTTCAATCTCTTGTTTCTCAAAATTGCCATTTTCCTCATGAAAGAACTATTTCAAATCTTAGGTCACAGTTTGTGAAATGTCTGTTCTAAAGTATGAGTAGAGAGGAAAACTAATTATTTTCAGATTGATTACAAAACTTCCAGAGGTGTCTTGTTTCATTCCGTACCACATCCAAATGAAACCACTCCTTCCGAAATGAATTTGTTGAACACCATCTACACACGAGACTGCAGGCGAGGCCCTGGGATATGGCAGCCAGCAGGACTCTGCCACTCAGTTTCAGGTCTGATAGGAAGATGAACAAGGAAATGGGTGATTATGTATAGAGTAGTAGACTGATATATATACTCAGGGACAGAGACCAGTGAGGTTAGCATAGCACCTAACCCAGACCAGGGAATTGATGCTTATGACTTCCTACATTTTAGCTGAGACTTGAAAGTGGTAGAAGTTAGCCCAGCCAAAGGTAATGGGGGAGAAACATATTTGGAAAACAGAAATGAGCTTAGTTTGGCTGAAGTGAGAACAGAGGAGCAAAAATATCGTTAGACTGCACCATGTGAAAGCACCATTTTGTAGATCAAAATGGTCAAACATCATCCATTTCATTTAGTTCTGCATATTTCAACTCACTTAATGATGATCGGAGTCTCCATTTGTACCAGATGTTATGGAAGCTCTATTTGTATGAGGTCCTGTTTAATAGCCCCAATAATCGAATAAGGTGCATTCTACTTTTATCCACATATATACTCAAAGAAACTAAGACACAGAGAGGTTAGATACTTGCCCATTGTCACAAGGCGAGCATGATGCCCAGTCAGTCTGATTCTAGCTGGACTGGAACCTGAACCTGTAGGATGAAGATGCTTTTGAACTATACTACAGAGGAGCCGGTAAAGGGTTGTTTCTGGTTTTGAGGTGTGGGGTGGGGGGAAGGAGACTGGCCTGTGTTCAGAACAGCTTTATTCATAATGCCCCAACGCTGGAATAGCCCAAATGCCTATCAACAGCAAAATAGATAAACAAATGGAGACATGATCGCATAATGGATTCCTATTCACCCAGTGTGGGGACCCGGCAGTCATAGCTGTGCCTGTGATGAGAACAGGCCACAGGTGCCCCTAACCGTAGACACTGAGGCAGGGGCCCCAGTGGAGAAAGTACAGGAGAAAGGTTCTATGCCTCCTCGTGGGCCTGGACCTTCCTCCCAGGTGCCACAGGGCATACACACCAGCTTCCCTGGCACTGGAGCCAGTCTGTTGGAGAGGAAGGGAAAAGTGGAGACCTTGGGGAGTGCCTACACCTTGGAGTAGAATAAATACCTCGCAGAATCTCTATTAGAACAACAGAAATTGAGGTGTCTCTATTTCTCAATGGAAGGTTTTGAAGCAGCATGGTTGGGGTGATTGGATTGGGTTTTGGAAGCCTCATGCCAGCATGGCAAAAGTGTTTGGGGGAAGCCCTGGAGACAGAGAGAGGGGGGATAGGAAGGTCTTGTAGAAATAATGGGAAGAGGCAAGAATGACCTGAATTCAGGCAGGGACAACAGGATGGAGAGAAAAAAGGGGCAGACCCCAGAGATATTTAGGACATGGAGTTGACACAGGGTGGAGTTGGCATCAACACCCTCGTTTCTGATTCGCATGACTGGTGGGTGCTGGTCTCATTTGTTGGGGGCTGTAAAAAGAGGAGCCTACTTGGGGGTACCAGATGATGTCAGTGACACACACAGGAAGTGCAGCTTATCGCAGCTTGGTGAAACATGCTTACTAGCATATGGCTGAAGGTCACACCCCAGAGCAAAATGTGAAATCAGCTGCCACAGCCCCTCGTTTCCTGATGCCTTTCCTCACTGCTCAGACGCGTCTTTCTATCTTTTCAGCCAGAGATAAATCGGAGCGAGCCTTTGGGGTGGCCTTCGTGAAGCTGATGAACCCAGATGGCACCACCCTGCAGGACGGGAGGCATGATCTGGTGGTTTATAAGGTGGTGCTAATAGAATGAGGCCCAGAAAATGGCTGCGGAACTGTTTACTCCCTTGGGCTTTTAGGGCACTTTCCAGATTTATATGTACAAGCATCAGAGACCTTTAGAGCTATATTTGTTTGCTCATGAAAGTCTAGAAACAGAGGGCTCTGGATATACCAGCTTTCTGGAGAAACGGAGAGACTGAGTTACATTATTACTGAGTCTTCTTCTAAGGAGAATCTCACCCTCTCCTACAAATGGTGATCACCATGGCAGTGAGCAGTAAAGGACCGCTTTCAGCTCTGATCTGCCCAGCACGTAGACATTTGTCCTGCTGGGCTTGGGTAGAGTGTGGTGGGCGTGGTAGTATGTGGTTTTCATATCGCCATGAGCCAGATAGCGTTCTTCTCTGCTGTAGGTGCCTTGTTCCCTTCCCTAAGAGTTTTGCCCCCATTTTTCTCTTCTGTTGCTAAGCTCTTGCTTCTACTGAGATTTGGGAACATAAAGTAGATGCTGGAAGATCTCATCTGTCCAACAGTATCTGGGAGGTTTTCACACAGTTGGCAGCTCTTTGGAGATCCACCTACCTGATGGACATTTTTCTTAATGTCTTCTTAGCTTGTAAATAGTTTTGAAAGGCACAGCACCTTCAACTCCATGAAATAATACTTGTGACCGTTTTGAGGTTCAAGAAAATTAAAATCAGCCTTATTATGTCATGCATTTCTTTTCTTCTAGCAGAGACTAGAATATTTTGACTTTGGAGGCGGGGGTGGAGGGGACAGCACAGCATCAATAAGGGTACCTGATCTCAAACCTGGCAAAGTGGGAGCCAAACTTTATCTGTGTGATGTCTACTTGTATACTTAATCATGAATTAGGTATATTAATTAGGTATATGTTAATTAGGTATAATGTGTGTGCCACACATCTTTACAAGAAAAAAATTAGAGACTGTTTTGGCTTCCAGTTCACAATGAGAAACCAGAAGTTCATTCAGTGACAAAATGATTTCTAGGCTCAAACTCCATGGAAAGTTGTCTTTCCGTGTGTATCTCAGGGTTGAAAATGATCTTAAGGATAATTTGATAAAGCCACACTTCTCATGTTGGAAATGCATGATTGATAGAAACTGTTTTTATTTGCATGTAAGAAACATAGCCATCATGTGGTATTCCTACTGTGCTTCCCTGATAGGGTGAAAACAAGAAGATGGAAGATGCTAAGTTCTACCTGACCCTGCCTGGGACCAAGGCAGAGATGGAAGAAAAAGAGCTTCAAGCATCCAAAAGCATGGCTGCTTTCACCCCAAGCAAGGACAGTACAAAAGATAGCTTTCAGATTGCCACTCTCATTTGCTCCACCAAGCTCACCCAGAATGGTAGGTGTGATGGCCACATTGATACAAATGAACTTTCTGCTTGGTCCTCCTGGGCTCCTTGGTGAGACTCGTGGAACTGGGCCATAGAGGGTCAGGTCTTCTGAAATGGGAGGCTGGGCAACTGAGTTCTGCTCTCTGCATTTTGAATGATATTCTGGGTCATACTGATTAAATTGCATAGCTCTTTCTGAGATTTCGTCATCCATCTTTACAACAGGATGAAAAACACTGAGGTATTTTTATTAATAATGTCATAAAAGCTATCAGTGTATTCATTAACAGAGGCTGTAAAATTCAAGTCTTGTGTCCCCTTCCTTATGGCAGCAAAGGACTTGGATAATGCCTTCTGTATAGCATATGCAACAGGAAATGTTGGTTAATAAGGGGGAATATTGGCAAAGAATTGCCATCAACCTCCTGTGCAAACATGTATGGCAGGCTTCCTGTTAAGAGTTCCATCTTTCCCCTGTATATTATCTTCTCTCTTATCTTTTTTCCAAGTAGCCATCAAATCGACTGAATAGTTCACGCAGAGTTTCATTTTGTTTCTCCTTCAAATCTCTGATACCAGTTTTCATCTCTCTTGTGTATATTTGATGGCCAATATCATCATCTTAACTTATATAATGTGTAAGGAGTTCTACTGAATATAATAAACCAATTAGCTGCCCAAGGGACTTGCCTTGAAAATTCTATCTCCTGTAAGCTGTCTAGAGGATTCATGCCTTTGGTCTTGTAAACAATCTGGTTGAGGCACCTGGCACAAGCTCTGGGCACAGATAAACAGTTTAGGTATGAGGTACATCCATGGAATCCGATCCTGGTTGATCTTTAGAAGGAAACAGAACTTGGTTTGTTTTGATGAATCATGGTTGAGAGAATAAGGCTATTATTCCAACTTGTACAAGTGCTAGACTCAACAGAGTGAAGTTCAAGACCGATCTATGTGGGAAAGAGGAAGCAGGCTTACCACAAATTAAGCCGGAAAACATTCCGAGCTTCACAGAAGACATGACAAAAGTGTATCAGCAGCAGATCTCTTGTTATAGAAAGAGTAAATATAATATATCGCTGATAGGTTGGCTAAAGGTGCAGTATTTATGGAAGGTAAGTTGGAAAGTATATCAAAGATTTAAAATGTCTTAGACCCTTTGACCCAGTAAGTTGACTCCTGGAAGTTGAGCCTAAGTAAACAATGAGAGATGTGCACAAAGATTTCTGTATGAGGATGTTTCCCTATTGTTTATAATATGGAAATACTGGAAGCAACCCCAGTGTCCAATGGTCAGGGTCAGTTTATCTAAATTTTATGATATAATTAAGTGATGAAATATTTGCAGCTGCTAAATATTGTATTTCAAAACATAGTCAAGGACATTTTAACACTAGGTACTGTGTGATCCCAGTTTTGTTTAAATATCTGGGGACAATTTGGAGTCAGATTGCCTGGGTTCGATTCCAGCTCTGCCACTTACGAGCTCTTTCATCTTGGGTAAGTGATCTGATCTCACTGTGACTTGGTTTCCTCATTTTTAAAGTGGAAGTAATAATAGTATATGTTTCAAAGAACTCAATATATTAAGGATAAAAACGAAACAGTGTCCAGCCTGTAGTAAACACTGTGTGAATGTTGACGTGATTATTATCAGCATTACTATTTGTACACTTAAAGGACTCATAGGAATAACTGCAAAAGCTTGGATAAGTTTTATTTTCTTTTTTCGTTTTAGTATTTTTCAAATTTTTAACTATGAAATGTCAAAATGTTATTTTTGGAAGTATAGTAGTAGACGATAGAAAGCATTAGTGTAGGCAGGGCTTGGTGGCTCAGCCTGTAAATCCCATCACTTTGGGAGGCCTAGGCGAGTGGATTGCCTGAGCCCGCGAGTTCAAGACCAGCCCAGGCAACTTGGCGAGACCTCATCTCTACGATAAAATTAAAAAACAGCCGGGCGTGGTAGCGTGCGTCTGTAGTTCCGGCTACTCGGAAGGCTGAGGTGAAAGGATCGCCGGAGCCCAGCAGGTCGACGCTGGGGTGGCTGTGAG